ACAGAAAACTTACCAATTCGAAGTGCAAAGGGTCTATTAGGTGAGCTCCAATTTGCAGCATTTTTTCAGGTTCTATCTTGGAAACAGGGACCATAACAGTCTCTTATGTTGGACAAGCTCGCTCAATATTTTCTGGCGGTGGCTACAAATCTATGTTAGTGGCTATCTTGCCTTTTGCTTTTAAGGCTGCTATGTAGCATTTTCATGATTGTAACTAATCACCACGCAACACGCCTATTCCAGTTTCCATAGGAAATTTTAATGCCAGGTGGTACGTAGAAACAACAGCTCAGAGGGTATGGTGTGGGGAGGCGCGCCTGCCTCGATCGACACTCTTACCTTGCCAATGGGGCGGACTACCTCACCGCTGAAACCTACTAGTGGGATGTCGGCGGGCTGTAAATCTGCTTTGTCGAGCTCCATACGCTTGTAGGCTTCCAAAAATAGAATGCCTGTCGAGCTGCTGGAGTCAACCAAGATTCTCTTTACCCTAAAGTCATTGATCAGCAGCTTAACCACTAGAGCATCATCATGTGGCTACTGGATCCCACACATGTCATCTTCGGTGAAATAGATCACTTCTTTCTTCCGAGGTCGCTTTGACGGGTTGTTGTCTTCCTGTTCCAGCTCCCTGACCAAGTTCTTGCTTGCTGATGTAGTGCAGACAACGACAATCGAACCAACAGTGATCATGTTTATGGTCCCTTGGACCTGTCTTTCTGATTTCAGGGAGCTGCTTCGGTTTCCTATTGACTTGGGGTGCTTCCCTGCTTGTCCCTTCCTCTGGTCGCCGCTCATCTTTGATGAAGTGTCGCAGGTATCCTCTCTTGATGAGATCCTCTATCTCATTCTTCAAGTTCCAGCAATTCTCCGTGTTGTGTCCTACGTCCTTGTGAAAATGACAATATTTGTTTGGGTTCCTAGTGGTAGGATCCCCCCTCATCTTGGGTGGCCATTTCACATAGTCATTTGACTTGATCTGCATTAGAATCTCCTTTCTTTTAGTGTTTAGAGGAGTAAAGGTCATGATGTATGCGGGTGGTGTTGCTGATCGCTTGTTCGAACCTCTGGTCGATGACTTGCTCCTTCTGTGCAGTGAGCTATTGTGCCTGCCTTTTGGTGACTTGCTCCTCTTGGGGGATTTACTTCTTTGCTTGGTCTTACTACTATTTGCTTCTTCCTATGCTCACTTCCTTTTTCCAAACAAGTCAGACTTTGAGCCCACTGCTTCCTCGGCTTTGATGAACTGGTGTGCTATGTCGAGAAACTCTTCCATGGTGGCTGGAGGGTGTAATTTGATCTCCCACTTCAGCTCGGGCTGTTGTACCCCATTCTTAGGTGCAATAAGTTGTACAACAGGGTCTAAGTCTAAGATCTAAAGGCGCTCCATGTTGAGTCTTCTGATGTACTCCCTTAGTGTTTCATTTGGTTTTTGGATCACATTTAGTAAATAGGTTGCTGACATGGAGTGTCTCTTGCTTGTGGAAAACTGGTCCCAGTTCTTGATGGAATTGGGGGCTAGTCTGGAGTACTAGAGCCAAGCTTCTTCTTTCAAGGTTGTTAGGAAAGCTATACACATACTTGCATCATTTGCCCCATGGAGTAACATGAGAGCCTGGAAGTTGTTGGCGTGCTCGATTGGATCTGTCTTGCCTTTGTAGGATTCAATGGTCGGTGTCTTGAAGTTCTACGGTCTTGGAGCCTTGAGGATCTCAGGGGCCAACGGAGTTTCACGAGTTAGGCAGGGGGGTCCAGAGAGGGAAACCATCCTACTGGTGACTGCGCTGTCTCCTCCCTTCTGGACTTCACTTCTAGCTGGGGTGAGCTGGCTTTTCTTCCCAGCACGGTGCGTTCGCCTCTTGTGTCTCTTAATGCCCTTAGTCGAACTAGCGGCATCTGCCCCGACAGGAACCTCAGATTGGCTCTTTGCAGGGATCTAATTATCACGGGCTGCGTCATCAACCCAATTTCGGTTGTCATCTCTATTGGGGACTTGGATTTAGCTGCGAACTCACGAAGGGATCGGTTCTTCCTGATCGACCTGGTTCAGACCAGTATTCTGTAGAGGTACCTATTGGGGTGGTACTTGTTGACTGTTTCGTGGCACTTGCGGACCATTGCGTAGTGCCTGTCGGCTGTTGCGAGGTACCTGTTGGCTATTCTGAGGTACTTGTTGGAAGGGTACCTGTGGAAAGCGTTGTTGTTGTTGCCCCTCCTGCTATGAAGGTTAACCTATTCTCCCAGGATTGTAACTATTCAATCATCCCTTGCACGCACCATACCAGATCATTGAACTGGCGCACGTCAACCCCCAGGAGCTGCAACGGGTTCAACCGCAAGGGCAGGTGCGCTCACATTGCCTAGTGGCCCAGTTGGGTGTAAGGGAACGTCAATCTGACAAATGACAACGGTGGGGACTTGGCCGTTGACGTTGTTGTCATGGGCAAGGGGATTGCTTGAGGATGTCATTGCTGAATTTCTGAAAGAAAGCAAGAAAAGGGGAACTTAGCTTTTTGCTGCATTTCCCACAGATGGCGCCAATTGATGTTACGCAATTTGAGTGTTTCCTTGTGTATTGTGACTCGGACTCTAACTATATGTCAATCTGGTTGGGTTGAGCTGTGTGGCCGAGCTAATGTCTGGATGTCCGAGCTAAAGTGAGCTGCAAGGGGAGAAGAGTGATAGTGCCTGGGTAGTTTTTACCTGGGGAGGACACTCCGATGCTTAAGTCAGTAAGTGAATGGGGATTTCCCTGAAAGTGTGAGAGAGCTTGAGAGTATGAGTGTGCCTACCTCCCCAGGTGCATTCGGGCTCCTTTTATAGTCTTCAGAGGTTTAGGGTGCTTTGGCAACGTCCCCGAGTTTTTGGCGAAGCTGTTTCCGTAATATAAGGCGTATCAAAGTGTCAGTTACTAGATCTGTGCGACAATTATGGTTCGTTCGCTTAGATTGTGGCACACGGTACGGCGAGCTACTCCAACGGTCGCGATGTTGGCGCCCTCGATAGCGGGTGGGGGAGTGGTTAGATGAGCTCACCTTCGCGGGTCGCCCTAGCTCGCCTCAGCTTGGCTGACTTCTTAGCCAGGTCGCCAGCAGCCTTAGGGCCCTTGCCAGCTCGCCCTTGCCAAGGTCGAGGGCGGTCTGTGCGAGGTGCTCTGAGCTAACCTGTCAAGTTGGTCTACTGGCTTGGTGCTGCGCTGTTGATAATGGCCATGTGTCGTCATTTGTTTGGGAGGACCAAATTCCCCCTCATCAACAACCAGCACTACCAGCACGGCAGCCGAAGGAGCTCCACCTCCTCATCGGAGGTCCGTGCAAAGGCATCACATAGGCCCAGACCCATTATCTTTTACCAACGAGAACAGGTTCGATATCCACCTAAGCTCTAAAACCCCTTAGTGCTTACAAAGAAAAGTAGTTCTTTTAGTGCAGCAGCGCAAACAACGCGCCGTGAAGCTCTTCAAGGAGAACGAATGCAGTAGGGAGCAACAGCTGCAAGATCTCGAGGCCATACACTTGAAAACATTCAGTAGCGGCATTCGACAAGTTCCCAACGAGAAGCTGCGGTTTTCCCATTCTAGACCAGACACGTCACACGCCCACAGTTCATAGTTTGAACAGGGCGACCACCACCATCGGTCCACCAACATCACCTCTATAGCGACCACTGCTACTGCAAAGCTGGTCCAGTCGAGTGGGTTGGTTGCGGCTTTGGTCCATGAGATTTCTTCTCATGTGGATGATTGTGATCTAGCATACTTGGATAGTAACTTTTCCACATCATAAACGTGGTAGCCAATTAAGTGTTCTTTATCAAAATTTATGGGTGTGTTTTGATTATTCCAAACTCTTCTCAGACCATATCTTTTCCACATCATAGATTGCCTTTTGAAATCTCTGATTTGACGAAAGAGAGACCATCACTAAGAGACCATCACTATTTTCAGTTGAAAATCAAATAAAGATATTTTTCGGTTAGTTTAGGTTTTAAAAGAAAATGGCAAAATAAAAAAGAAAATAGAGAAAGGTTAATAGGGTATTTTAGTAATTTAACAATTTCCGTTCATTCTTTTTGAGGTTCTCACTTTGGTTAATCGAACGTCGGGTATTTTTTGTAACCGAATTGGTAGATTGGTTTTTGGAAACCGGTAACCGAAACCTATTGGTTAACCAGTTGACCGGTTCGGTTAACCGTCGGTTTTTTAATTTTTACAATATATTATATAAAAATATATAAATATATAATAAAAACTATAAATATATATAAAATATTATATTTTAAATAATAAATTATAAATATATATATATTTATATATATAATGCATATTTATTAATTTATGATATATAAAAAATATATATAATATACATAAATATATATAAAATATATAAAAATATGTATACCGGTTGGTTGGATTAACCATCGGTTTTCTATATTAATTAACCAAAACCAAATCAAAACTAAATCGATCAATTCGATTAACCGATTTTTCAATTCGATTTCAATTTATTTTTTCGATTGATTTGATTTTTCGGTTTTTTTGCTCACCCCTAAAAAAAATTAATAAGATATTTTAGTAATTTAACAATTTCCATTAATTGACTTAATGGCCGAAGTGGTATTTGTCAGCAACATAAAAGTTTAAGAGTTCTTTGTCGCAAATTAAAATTCAGGGTGGTGTCTGTCGGGGTCCGTGTAATTTACCTTACAAAATGAAAGGGTTCGGATTTTTCCCTCTGTTTTATTTTATATATGTATAAATATATATATATATATATATATACCTATATACATATATGATTATGTAATGTGTATACTATAAATTTATATTATGTATAATATAAATTTTATTTGTATAATCTTAATCGGATCGAGCTTCGGGTCGGGTTTCGGATTTTGGGAGTCCATCTACCTTATAACCTTTCCGGCACCGGCATCATAGATTTACCCGCCGAAAAAAACAAAGAAACAAAAGAGTGGGGATAACCGTTGGAGGGAGATTTATGAAATTGCGTTCACGTTGTTTAAGTTCTTGGCCTATCCCGAAGGAAACCCAACAAGCCTTCTCCTTCCAAGATCAGTATCTCCATGGAAATCCTACAAGAAAAAGCCAATTTGTGGCTTCTATGGTTAAACCTGGACTCCCTACGGGGAATACTTGGATCAAGAAACGCTATTTTCTCATATCTGTTCTGCGAAATTTGGCAATTTCTCTATCTTTGGAGATTGTGAAGATGGTCCATGCGTGCATTTTACGATTTGGGTGTGATTCAAATATGTTAATATCCAATAATCTTCTTCATGCGTATTGTTATTGTGGTTCCACACGGGATGCGCTGAAGTTGTTCTACAAAATGCAGGAGAGGGATGCTGTTTCTTGGAATACCATGATTTCTGGATTTGTTGGTTCCGGAAATTTTGAGGAGGGGATATCGTTTTACCGTGAGATGAGAAGGGTTGGATTATCTCCTACTCAGTCCAGTTTTGTTTCTGCTCTGGTTTCTTCGGCTGAAGTGGGTAATTTGGTGATCTGCCGAGGAATTCATGGAGATAGTTTCAAATGTGGCTTCTCTTCTGATCTTCTCGTGGGGAATGCTCTCTTAACATCTTATGTTAAGTGTGGGGATGTCAAGGATTCAAGGAAATTATTTGATGGAATGCACAATTTTGATGAAGTTTCACTTGAAATTTTGTTGAGAGGATATCTTCAGCAAGGAGCTCTAGGTGATGCTTTCAAGTTGTTTAGGTATTCTTGTCTAGTAGGAGTTCCTTTTAGCTGTTTTTCGCTTTCTAGTCTAATTAGCTTATGTACAGATTCACAGCTTATTGGCCATGGAACCCATATTCATGGTTATGTTGTCAAGGTTGGTTTGGATTCAGATATTTCTATTGTTAATTCTCTTATTACATTTTATGCAAGATCATACCATTTAGAGGAGGCTACACGGTTGTTTTATGGATCAACATCACGTGATATTGTTACATGGAATTCCATCATAGCAGGATATGCATTTAATGGTCAAGGAGATTTAGGGGTGCACCTAGTTACTAGGCTGTTGTCCATTGGAACAATAATGAATGAATCCACTTTCTCAAGTTTTCTTTCTTGTTGTGCAACCGTGAATGTTCTTGCCAGTGCAAAGAAAGCTCATGTCCTAATACTGAAGTTAAGGAGGTACACAGATTGCACAACCAATAATGTTATACTGACCATGTATTGTAGATGTAGAAGTTGGAGCTATGCTAGTAAAGTGTTTAAAGCACTGAATGAGAGGGATGCAATCTCATTCAATCTTTTTATTGCATTACTTAGAGACCTTGGCCAGAATGAAGAAGCTGTTGAACTTTTCCAGCAAATCCAGTCAGAGGGATTCAAAGTAGATGAGCTCATGTACTCAGGTCTTATTTCTAGCTGCTCAAGATTGACTGCTTTGGAGATAGGACAACAGATACACAGTTGTATTATTAAAACTGGTTTTGAGAAGGTTTCTCTCCTTGGAAACTCTCTTCTAGAGATGTATTCTCAATGCAGAAGATTAGACAACATGGAGCAAATTTTTAATGAAATTGATATTCCAGATATATTCACATGGAATACAGTGGTCATGGGTTATGCCCGTTGTGGGTTGATTGAGCAATCATTCCAAATTTTTGCAAAAATGATAGAGTCGGGTGTCCAATTAAATGAGTTCTCCTACAGTGCAATCCTTGACATATGTAGTCATATTGGTTATCCAGTGATGGGGGAACAAATTCATGTTTGGATCAAGAAGCTGGGATTGGTCTATGATACAACCGTGATGAATTCTCTATTAACTATGTATGCTAGTTCTGGGATGATGGACAAGGCATACAAAGTCTTTGAAGAAATCTCTTCCCCTGATTCTGTCTCATGGAATTCAATGATCTCGGGTTATGCACAAAATGGTTTTGCTGAAGAATCTCTCAGGTTTTACTTGTTAATGAACCAAATTGGAGTAGAAACTAATTACATGACCTTTGCAAGTATTTCTAAATCTTGCACTATGCTTTTGGACTACATGCTTGGTTTGCAATTCCATGGCCAGATCATTAAGAGGGGACTTCAATCAGATATCTCAGTCTTGAATTCCCTTATAACTATGTATGCCAAGTGCGGTTACCTCCATCACTCTTGTACAATTTTCAGGAACAATGTTGATATTAGAGATGTGATCACTTGGAATTCCATGATTTGTGGATATGCTTATCATGGATGTGGTAGGGAAGCACTTGATACATTTACAGAGATGAAAGTTTCAGAGGAAAAGCCAAATGAGATAACCTTTATTGGTGTGCTTTGTGCATGTAGTCATGCTGGCCTCATATCGGAAGCTCAGGATCAGTTCAGTTCCATGTATCAAGATCATGGAGTTGTTCCAAGTGAGGAACACTACATTTGCATGGTTGACATTCTATGCAGAGCAGGGAAATTGGAAGAAGCAAAAGGTTTGATAGAAAACATGCCATTTAATCCCTGCTCACTAATTTGGCGGATATTACTTAGTGCTTGTAGGATGGAGGGAAATGTTGGGCTTGGAAAGGAGGCCGCTGAGAAGTTAATGCAGTTAGAACCTCATGATTCATCTTCTTATGTTCTCCTCTCCAATATTTATGCTTTAGCTGAGAAGATGGAAGAAAAGGCTGATATAAGGAGGAAGATGAAGGGTAAGGGTGTGAAGAAGGATAGTGGATATAGTTGGATTGGGAATTAAAAATTTTTTGTTTACATGTAACTGAGAAATTTGCAAGTTCTCTTGAATAGGAGGTTCTTGCCTTTGGCAATATCTAAACTAAACCAGAAAACTAGAATAGCCCAGAAGCTTGTCAGTAAATACAGGCACAAAAGGCCATTATTCGGTGATGATCCTGGCTGTCTTGGGAGGGGTAGACTGGATACAGAACTAATCTTGGCATAATTTTTTTATGGCAAAGTGGTTGCTCCCAGAAGTTACTATAAATAAATAATAGTTTGATAAAGACCTACAGTTTCTTCTTTTTTGGTAAAAGCGAGTGAGTAGAAATTTGTAAACTCATTTTCTCTATACCAGATCTCATAATTTGACTACAATATTTCTGAATCCTAACTTGAAAATGCACCCAAAACTTACTCAATGTGCTTGACTCAAAGTTCTTGAATCACCTGAACTCTTATTAATAATTTACAAAAATTATAATTTTAATTTAAAATATATTAGATCCATTAGAATTTCCAGGAAACATATCGTTTACAGTTCATAAATATTAATTATAAAATAATTATTCTGTATTATTATTGTTGTTGTTATTAGTTATGTAAGTTACAAAAAAAAAGCATTATTTGACACAATTTTTTGATGGATCTATGAATTTGATAGATCATCTATATATCCATCTTATGGTTCTTTCCTTACCATCAGAACCATTTAACCTAAATTGTTTTTTTTTTTTTTTATGATTTTGTTTCCCCAACTTTTGAGGAAATCACTAGATCCATTAGTCCAAACAAAAAAATCACAAATCCAATAACAAATCAGTGTAACCATGAATTTCACACACTGAAATAGTTCAATTGAACATTGAAAAATTAAATAAAAGTCACACTCATCATTGTTGTTGTTGTCAACATTGTCGTCATCGTCTTCTTCTTCTTCCAATGACTTTCTCCTTTTTAACGCAAGATCTCGGGTATTTTTTCATATAATAACTTGCCCAAAGTGTTTAAGAGATAGAAATGTTGGATGTGAATGTATGTGCTAGAAAAATAAAACAAGCCATCATTGTGATCATCCTAATCATCATCATCATCATCATCAGCAGCAGCAGCAGCAATAACTTCTGCTTCTTCTTCTTCTTGATTCCAATGACTTTTCTGCCTTTTTGATGCAAGATTTTAGGCGTTTTCTCATATGAGTGTAAACAGGTTGGAAAACCACCTAATAATCCCAGTAGTATTGGCTTATATGAAACAAAACAAACTTACTTGTGCCCTTATTTTTTGTTTGAGTTCTGCTCCTAGATCTCGTGTTAGAAATTGCAATGTTTTATTAGCTCCTCTTCAACTTTTTCCCCTTTTACTCTTCTTTAATGGATGAGTGTTGGGAACTCTTTTCCAATCGTTGTGGCAAGTAGAGGGACCAATAGATTTATTTCCTATATAGATCTCTTCACACTTTTAACCCCTTAAGAACAAAACTAACTTCAAATGAACCCTCAAAAGAGATAACTTTTGTTACAAAAAGACCCAATAGATGTACACCCAACTGCCCCTGACCAGAATTTGAATTATAAAATGATAAAAATACCTTGGTCCCAAACTGTCAACAAAGCTACCCAAAAGCAACAATTTAGGATCCTACTACAAACAGCATGCAAAACAGAATACATTTACATTTTTTTCTTCATTTTATCTTTATTTTTTATTTTTTGTTATTTTTTATTTTTATTTTTATTTTTGGCTTTATCATTCCCATTAGGTTAAAAAGAGCTCGACCTTGTGCTAGTAGCAATTTTAGCAACCTTGCATGTGTCTCCATTTAGCTTCATAAACTCTTCTTCACTAATCTAAGAGTTCCCAGTTGTTTGTTTCCCTTTCCACTTGACCAAGAACCTAAAATAGGCCCCATTTCGAGTGGTAATCAAAGAGTTATCCAAAATCATTAAAACTACTAGCCCTTTGTGTTTGTGCTTGCTTAACATTGGTTGTTGGTTCTTGATCTCCATGGTAATCAAAGAGGTCTGCTACATTAAAAATTGGTGAAATGGACAAATCAGCTAGTAGCTCGATTTCATATACATTGTTCCCAAACTATCTCAACACTCGACATGGCCCAATCTTTTACTGCTTCAACTTATGATAGGTCCCAACAGGAAACCTCTTAGACCACAAATAAACCATGACCAAATCACCCTTATGAAACTCTTCCACTCAACGGTGTTTATCCTTAGCTTCTTTATACCTTTGGTTGCTTTCTTTTAGCTCTTGTCATACATTTTCTTGAATCTCTTGAATGGATTCAACTAAAGCCTTGGCATCCTCACTAACTTGCCACAACCCTATTATAGGGATTAGATCAACAACACCTTTAGGCGATCGATCATACACAACCACGAAAGGAGTCTTCCTTGTAGATCTATTAATTGGATCATTGAAGGCAAACTTAGCTTATGGTAGGATAAGATCCCATTGCTTCAAGTAATCTCCAATTAAACTCTTTAACAAGTTGCCCAAGCTTCCTTCCGTTAACCACTTTGGTTTGTCCATATGTTTGTGGGTGAAATGTACTGCTATATTCTAGGGTAGTACCTGTACGCTTCTATAAAGTTCTCCAAAAGTGGCTAATGAATCATGTATCACAATCTGATGTGATAGATCTTGGCAATCCATGCAACCAAACAACTTATTTGAAAAACAAGTGAGCTACAAGATAAGCATTGAAAGTCTTTTGGCAACCAATAAAGTGGACCATTTAAGAAAAACAATCAACCAACAAAAATAGAGCCATTGCCCCTAGCTAATCTTGGCAACCCCACACAAAATCCATTGTAATATCAATCCATGGTGTTTCCGGTATGGGTAAGGGAAGATACAAACCTGTTGCCCCTTAGATGTTTGGCACTTGTGACACTTATCAACCTAGTAGAACACGTCCTTTTATAGTATTGGCTTAAAGTACCTTTTGGAGATCATTTCAGGAGTCTTCTTGCAACCAAGATGTCTCTTGCAATGCAAATCAACAATGAGTAACACCCTCAAAGACCCTGATAGAATACATAACCTATTGCTCATGAATAAGTAACCATCATTTCACACAAACTTAACTTGAATATCCTTGTCACCTACTACATAGATTTTACAAATAGGGCCAAAATAAGGGTCATCTTGGTATTGGTCTTTGATGGAGTCAAATCCCACAACATTAGTAGACACTGTGGTCACCAAGTGAACTCTCCTACTAAGTGCATTGGATACCCAGTTTTTCTGACAAGCATTATGCTTCAAAACAAAATTATATTCTTATAGAAAATCAACCCATTTTAGCATGGATTCCCTTTATCTTTTGCTAAGAGTTAAGGTGCTTCAATGCTTCATGGTTTGAATACAAAACAAGCTCCCATTGAATAAGGTAATACCTCCAAAATTTCAAGGCCTATACAATGACATAAAACTCAACATCATAAGTGGAATAACTCCTTCTTGAATCATTGAGTTTCTCACTAAAGTAAGAAACTAGACAACCTTCTTGCTAAGAACAACTCCAATCCCAACATGTGACTCATCACATTCAACTTCAAAGAGCTTGCTAAAATCAAGTAAATCCAATACTAGAGCTTTGGTCATCATCATCTTTAGCTCTTGGAAGATTTTCTCAATAGTAGGAACCCAAGCAAGCTCACCTCCTTTCAAGCATTCAATAATGGGTGCTACAATAGTTTTGAAATTCTTTATAAATTGATGATAAAATGTTGTTATTCCATTGAAACTATGAATTTCAATTAAGGTCTTTGGTGCTAACCACTTTTGAATAGCTTAAACATTTTCTTGATCCACTTCAAATTCCGTTGTCTTAAAACAACATACCCCAAAAACACCAACTGATCTGTCATAAAATTACACTTTTTCAAATTTATATGTAGTTGTTTTTGTCTCAAGACTTGTAAGAATGCTCTCAAGTGTTCTAAGTGGCTGTAATGGTCTTTGTTGTGGATGAGTATGCCATCAAAATAAACTACCACAAACTTCCCCATAAACAGCCTTAGAACTTGGCTCATGAACCTCATAAATGTACTAGGAGTATTAGACAATCAAAATGGCCTAACCACCTAGTCATAAAGACCTTCCTTAATATTGAATGTAGTCTTCCACTCATCCCTCTCTCAGATACGAATTTGATGGTACCCATTCTTCAAATCTATATTTGAAAATGTTTATGAGCCAACCAGTGTGTCTAACATGTCATCAAGGTGAGGTATGGGAAACATGTATTGTAATCTTGTTAATAGCACAACTGTCAATACACATAGGCCAACTATCATCTTTCTTTGGCATGAGCAAATCTAGTACAACACATGGGTTTAAGCTCTCATGGATCAGTCCCCTCTTCAACAACTCTATTATTTGTCTTTGGAACTCCTCATGCTCCTTAGGGCTCATTCTATAGTGGGATAAGTTAGGTAATGCTGCTCCTAGCATTAAATCTATATGATGTTGTACATCTCTTAGGGGAGGAAGGCCATTAGGTAATTTCTTAGGCATCACATAAGCATACTCATGAAGTAGTTTTTCACCATCTCTAGAATAGGTGTTTCTTTGCTAGCTTCTTTTGTAACTAGCACATAAACAACATCCAAATTCCCATCTTCTTGAGCCAATTTATTTGAGGTGAAGAGAGTATTGGTTGGTTTAGTTTCTTTCTTTGGAAATGAATCAAGTTGCATTGGTTTAAGAGTTATCTTCTTATTGTCTTTCACAAAGTTATAAGTTTCTTATCCTATAATGAATGACTACAGTCATACTGCCATGGGCATCCCACAAGAATATGGCATGCATCACTGGGACATCTCACCATATTGATTCCTTAAATGTTTTACCAATAGAGAAATTAGCTAAGAATTTAGAAGAAACTCTTACCTCATTTCCTTTGTTGAACCACAAAATACAATATGGTGGAGGGTGTTGTACAGTCTTGAGTTGTAACTTAATCTCTTGAGAAACAAGATTCTCATTACTCCTACT